CAGAAAAGAGGAGGATTTCAGACCAAGAAAAAGAGGGTAGGGAAACAAAGAACATCCCTGTTGATCCCAGACATAATAGGAATATTTTGAATCAAATGTCCATTGGTGTTGACATTAGCGATCATGTTAATAGACAGAATTTCAATCTATTGATCAGTATTAACAATAATAACATTTTATTGTTTACAGAAGTAAATAATGACAGAGCACGGATACTGCAATCCAGAACAGTGCAGGTTTGTATAGCTTTAAAAAGGAAGTTTATAATTTTCGTAATCTTTTGCTTATGCAATTGATGACAATTACGTAGTCGACATTACCCTGATAGGTAGGGTGATAGTGACTCGTTTTCCAACTTATAACAATTTTGTAGTCATAATTGCCCCGAGTGATAAGTGATAGTCAATTATGTTGAAGTTGATGAGAATTTTGAAGTCGACATTTCAGTTATGATAACATAGTTGTTTTTAATGCCAACAGGATTTAGCCAGGTTTTTAACTCCTATGATATGATTTTTCTACTGTTGTCAAACCTACCCAGTCTAACATGTACCCCACCACCACTCCAGTAAATCAAGCCATTGTTATCCTTACAATGGTGCCACATATGACAGAGATCAATCGTATCAACAGCTTTTTCACTAAACGAGCTCCCTCATACTTCTTGGAACTGCCATTAGTTTCATGGAGTAGAGTTAAAAACACTTAAATCTGTCACATAAAATGATATCATAGATACGGCACAGGAGAAAGGCTACGAAACAGCTGCTTGTCAAAGGGTTTCTTGATCAGGGAAAGAGACATTAACTATTTTAATAATGCATCAATCAGAGGAAGTGCTATATTCATCATGTCTGAAATATTTAACATTAACAGTAAAATTAAAGCTGACAACAATTTCTGCCCCTAATTGTTTTGGATAAACAAAGTTCCAGTAAGTGTATACTTTAAACTTTGTGGTTAAAATTTAGGATATTTCTAAATAGTAAAAAGTATTTTCTTTTGATATTGATATTGTGTCTGAACCAATGACAACCCTTCTTGACTTTCCTTTTTAAGATCACGCTTAATCATAACGTAATAACCAGTTCAAAAACATTTCAATCCAGAAAATATTTTAACTCAAATCTTTGGATCACCATTCTGTTTACTTCTTTTTTCGTTCTAAGCTTGTCAAGCGTATATTTTCTTTTGTTCTAGCTTTCCACGCGGGGTCGCTTCCTTCGTGGTAGGAGCCATTGACTTCTAGGTCTTCTGGAAACACACTTTTACTGCATTGTATTTCATTGTCACTGTTAGCACCTTTCTCGCTTAGGCAGAGGCTATGTTATCACTAATGCTATCACTGACATTTTGATTTACTTTGGCTAGCACCTAGACTTATACTTTCAATAACTTCCTTGTCAATGACAAGGCATTTATTTTGCTCTTCTGCTTTTTTCCTACTTTCTTTCTTAATTTTATTTTCTCTAGTTTCTTCAACTTCTTCGTTCACGAATTCAGCAACTTAGATGAAGACTTTTTCTTTTGTCATCAGACACAGACGAAAAGTGTGATTGCCCCATTCTTTCCCAAATCAATCAGACAATCTATAGACGCCCCAGTGGCTCAGCGGTAATTCTGAAGACCCACACTGCTACAAACCGGGTTTATATACTTATGGTTGGCACAACACAGATAGCCCATTGCATAGCTTTTCGCTTAACAACAAACAAGCAATCTATAGATTCGTTGTCATAGCGTTTGCAAACTAGAAAAGTAAGACTCATGGCCGAACAGCCAGTGCCTTTGCATCTAGCATACAAGTTAACTATTTTAGGTTAATTACTCAGCAGGTTTACTTTAACTGAGAGTAGCTATTCCACAAAAACATTGGTACAGGTTTTTACCATGTACAGCTTAAAAAGGCTGTTATCCGTAGTTAAGAAAGGGAAATCATTAGGAGCTTCCCTAACACATTGAGGGTCTTTACTACACTGAGTAAGCGTAATAGATAATAAGTCATTTGGGAGTTCACTAATTAACCCCAGAAGTATTCACTTGATGTTCGACCTTTGCAGGAGTAAAGATAATTTTTTCAACATTAAAAGATCAAAAACTAAGGGTCTTGTTAGTGAAGATTTGGGGGGTTATTTAAATGATCTTCGGCCACACATTGTTTATTAAAAAAATTAACAAGTTATTCGTGTTGTATTTTGAAACGAGTTTATCGGTATGTGGAATAACATTTAATGGCGAAAATTATACAACATTACGATGTGGTACGTTCGTTAATGCGTCAAACTTAGCTCTTTCATTAAAATAATTCACAGGGCGAAACTCAAAAATGCTATAATGATAAAAATTCTACATATATGTTTTCTAAGAATACAAGTATATTGCGTGAAAGAACCCGGTTACATAATGATAGTCATAATATTAAAAATAAAATTGCCTATACCCTTTATAAATGTCATATAATATCGAGTTTATTGAAAAAAGGATAGTACACAACGTTTCGCTGACGTTAACTCGGCATTATGAAGTACAGCAAAAATAAAAGAATTCAAACCGAAATAGTCAACTCGGAGGTGGTTTTCTAGCAGGCCAATATGTTCAGACTAATTTTGTAGATGTAATAAGGATGTAAACAGGTATTTATTACTGGTACGCTTGAGAGATTTTATTAGGGTAGCTTCTTCACTCTTTTAAGCTCAAGTGAAAAGGGCTTTCAGTAAAGATTATCTTCATCTGTAATAGCTCAGGATAATAGACGTCAACGTAATCAAGTTTACATCATTCATGATGTTAGAAAAACACGTAGGCTGAAGAAGTCGTGATAAAAATGAATAAAAACCCTATAACTCGAGCGCTTTCCAAAGGTGGACCTTTCTTCTTCAGGGGCAAACATCATAATATCCAAATAAAATTGCGCCGTACATCCACTCCAAACATGGTATTAATTCAACTTTCAAACAAAACAAAATCCCTTTTTACAAAGTGCGAAACACTTTACACAAATGCTGAAAGGAATGCCGTTTTCACTTGCGAGGTATTTTTGATCAGCTTACTAAGAGCTCTTAATCCCTAGGCTTTCTGGCAGTACAGTCACAATATTTAATTTCCAACACGAACTTCAAAAATATAAACTTGTATATTTTCACTTGTGCTGAGTTCTGGTAAGGGTGACTCATCTGTCTTTTGCTGGGTTCTAAATGTAAAAGCAGTGACCAGAGCTAATTATGTTTTTGCGTGCGATATCTATAATGTATCACAGCATGAGTAAGAAAATAATTTGCCATATACTTGCTCCGTCGTCTTTCATCTGATACTATCACAGTGAAAGGCATATAGTTTTGTTTTTCAAAATATAATATTTACTTCTCATGATAAGTGATAGAGTGCAACTGAATGGGTGTCAGGTTTCCTGGCACTATTTCCTATCTCGCAGGACTATAATAGTAAATAGCATCTATTTTAGTTTTCCTCTAAAGGAAACGTACTCGACACATGTTATTGTGCGCAGTAACTGGCATATTTTAATGTGCACGAGTATGTGTATATTGGAACCAGTCAGCAGTTTGCTATATAGGCAGCAGGTTAATATTTACTCACAGTTACAATCGACATTCATATTCCATAACACCATGGAACACAACTTTGCTACTATTATTCGAACATATAAATCTAGAGTTTTATATCAATAAATTTCAATGTACTCACATTTGTTTCCGGTGAATGAAGATTTTCATCAGAGGTGGACTCACCTGCAGAAAATATGCCTATTTTATCTCATGCTCGTATCTATATTTTCTAATGCATTCCATCTATTAGCTCAGAAAGCAACGGGCATAACTATTTCAAGTTTCTACTTTCATAGTCATGCGGGATGTAGACCATATAGCTACTGAAACTATATCTATTACACCCATTTGACGCTGTATTTGGTGGCTTTACGAGAATAACTTCGCAGTCCAGTGCAGTCAAGTATTAATAAGATTTGTTACGATGTCGGTGCAGTTCATCAGCATACTCGCCCAAATTGTCGCTAGTCTTGCCTCATCAAACTTTAGACTTTTATGATGATATCTCCGCTATACACATTCGAGATGGTATGATATATATACCTGTCGAAACATAGGATATATTACTTTATGAGGTATCACATCTTAGCATTTCTAATGAGAGCTCTTGAAAAATTGATCAAGAGCCTCCTTAACTGTAACCTTTGAAAGTCAATGGGCTTGTAAATTTTGTCTCACATCCAAATTGACTACCTAGCCAGAGAAACTCAGCTAAGCCAATGTCTGGAAAAGCACACACGCAACATACACATCCTTAGAAACACAAGGTATATGTTCAGGCTTTTCAGATTGACATGTCGCTAAAGTGAATGCATGTACCTGAATCTCCAGACGAACCGCGATCATTATCAAGCGGCCTCTTCACTCGTCAGATTACACTTTCATACTTTGTTTTGCCTTTGTTCTGATGCGGCACTTGCCATTCTCCCTGGTGGCTGAATAAGTTATCATTAACTAGCTATTGACTACCAGCTGTTTCTTCCCAGCACCTGTATCGCAAATCATTTTAATCCAACTGTGGAGGACAGGTCTAGTGAACGCTAAAGGTCTGAGTAAGCTAGAGTTCTCTCAAACAAGATATCGGCACTCCTTAACTTAGCTGTTTTGTACAACCGTTTGTCACTATTTTGCCATATGTTTGTAAAAGGTGAACTGAATTAGGACTGAATCAAGAAATGAAAAACTATTGCATACAATTTATCTATATTAATTATAAGATAGTGAAATTGTGGAATAAACGTACCATAATATTATGGTAAGATTGTATAGCTTACTGTAATTAATTTCAAAATAGGCTGTGAGCATTTTCATCTTTCATTGCCTTATGATGTATACAATCTGAAACTATCATTTAAATTAGATTGCATGGTTTGTGTGTCTGTCAAATATTACTATTCTAATTTATTTTAATTCAATAGGGCCAAATTTATTTTACAGATACTAATAGCACAGATCCTCAGCTCAGCATACGCATTGCTTATGATGGCTGTTCTTGTAGGTACTGCTATACAGCTTACTGAAGACGGTATCGGATCTCCATCGGCGATATTTTTGATTGCATTAGTGTCAAGTTTTTTCATCTCAGCTATATGTCACCCGCAGGAATTTTCTTGTATAATGTCTGGTGTTCTTTACTTTATAAGTGTGCCTTCGATGTATCTGCTACTTATCATCTACTCTCTGGTAAACCTAAATGTTGTAAGCTGGGGAACAAGAGAAGTTCAGACCAATATAAAGCAACTGTTAGAGCAAGAGCAAAAAGAAGAAGAAGAAATTAAAAATAAACAAAGCAAGGAATCTGAAATATTTGGATGGTTGGGTTTCGGTGGAAATAATAAAGAAGAAGATGGTGGAATAACTTGTAATGTTGCTAACTTGTTTAAATGTATGTTTTGCATCTACCCGAAGGCAAATGATGAAAAGCTGCAACTCATTAGAGTCAGTGACCAACTTGAGAGCCTATATAAGAAAATTGAAACTTTAGAACATCGACTTGGAACAACAATCGGCACATCTTTCCATATGAAGTCCTCTATTCGCCGTCATTCACAAAAAACTCCCGAAAGCTTGCCCACTGTTGAAGAAGGTGAAGATGAAAAGGAAAGAGTGGAATATACAAACCAATTTGACGAATCAATCGAAGGTAAGAGTAACAAAAGTACTACTGAGCATAATTTATTAATCTACTTAAAATCCTATTTTGTTAAGCTACATTCCCACTTACTTTAATGTAAACTACAATGCTGTCCAAAAGTTAAGGAACATATCTTAGTGCTCAACAAACAGTTTGTTTCTTAATTTTCGACCGGGTCCTACCATGGCATGATGGTTAGGGCGCTCAACTCGTAACCTGTGGGTCTCGGTTCGAATCTCCGTCACCGAACGACCTCGCACTTTCAGCTGTGGGGGCTTTATAATGTGATGGTCACTCTCACTATTCGTTGGTAAAAAAGTAACTGATGAGTTACTGGTGTTCCCTCTAATATATCACTGCAAAATTAGGGACGGCTAGCACAGACAGTACCTTTGCGCAATATTAAAAACAAACCCAAGCTTTGAAAATCATTATAAAATACAACATTATATGCCACTGAAAGCTTCAAAAGATAAAGTGATGTGAGCGCAGATATCATGATATAAAACAAAGGCATCTCTTCCATGACTTACGTAATGAGAATGACTAAGTAAAACAGATAATATACAATAAAACATGCTTTTGTCTACAGAGTAACTAATAAAAACACCTGAAGACGAGTTCGAAAATTGTGATCTAATCTTGTGAACTAAGTAAAAACCAACTTAGAAGATAACCCCTCTTTCGTATGTTTTAATATAAATGTATTCTACTTCCAGAATGATTCAGTTACACACTGGAGTGTAAATAAGTTTTAAGAAGAGAAACAACCAATGCCCAATGAAAATTCTTTAATTTCTCAACGTTTCACCTTACGGTTTTATCAAGAGGTAGACACCCTAAGAACACAAGCCCAGTCTTAACAGAGCAAAACAGATGATATAATTTAAAATAACAACAACGCGTTCTCATGTATTGTCTGACATACAATCACGTTACCAATAATGAAAAGGTAACAGTAAGAAATGTATGACAAGAATATAATAAAATACTTATTTAATACCTAAAACAAAAGATGACTTGTGTGAACATTCAAGCCTAATAAATATGTGCATGTAAACAGTAAAACATCAAATGTAGTTAAAACCATAAATATATATATACACTAGCAAAACAGCCCGTCAAAAATGACGGGAAATCATTGTCGAATGATTAACGAAAATTATATAATTTAACTAAAACAAATTTATCTGTATCTCTAAAATGCACCTACTCTTCACTTATTTCATCAGTCTCGAAGTCATTCTTTAATCACCACATTTTTAATAAAAACTACGCAGAAAAATGAAACGTTATCGTGTACAAAAGTAAGTGTACACTCTGAAAGAGACTTAAATTGCATTCTTGAGCTTTTTCACTGTATTAATGGTCAGAAAGTAAAATAATGCGGACATTCCGACACAAATTTTCAACACTTTTGACTATACAAAGAATAAAAGATATTTGGTAGTAGTAAACGTTTATTTTTATTTATGTTTTAAGGCCAAGTAGGTAATATATGTTTTAAGGCCAAGTAGGTAATATATGTGTTAAGATACCAAAAGAATATTTATTAATTAACATTTATTTACCACTTAAAACTTTTAAACACTGACTCTATAACGTTAGTAATAGTAGACCTATTTATAGTATAAGTTAAGCATTAAGCCTAATACATAAACGTAACGTAAGGCTTAGCTGAAACACTACTTGGTAAATTATATTTTGCTTTTGGCTACAACTCAATGTCATAAAACTTCTGAATTAAACTATGTTGCTGTTATATCACTGAAATTATCAAAAATATAAAGAATAAAAAAACTTTCTAACAAATCAAAATGAATATTGAGCATTCAACATAAACACCATAATTGGCCTAAGAATAATCAGGTGATAGTTTTGTTGCTAAGTGACGATGTATATTGTTGAGCATTGCCGAAAAAGGAGCGTCAAGCGTTTTCGATAGAGTGACAAAGGGAATAAAACTTTTATAATTAATGATTATTACAAAAGAAGTAAAAGGTACTAAAATGTTCATATATACATATACATAAATCCACCATTTAAAGTGGCAACCTTCTATCCCTGTTGACTGAAGCCTTCTCAGAACTGATAGAAGGGACTCCTTGTACTTCCTCTCGGAAAACCGTGGCGTTTACTTTCTATTTTAATACTATAAGAGTGATCGGATTTAGACTCACTGTGCTCATTAACGATTCACTTCCAGCGTTCGTAATGATATCATTAACCCACTGTCCCTATCTACTATCTTGCGAAACCACAGCCAAGGGAACAGGCTTGGAGAAATCAGTGCTTTGTTTTTCTGTTCAGCCATAAATAAATAATCAGTCAATTCACATGCATAAATAACCACTATCAATTCTAAAATTTAAATACATTGTTAGATTGTTGAATGTTAATTCAAATACTAAAAACCTTGTTTACCGTTTAAACTTGTGTACTTGAGAATGATCACACCAGTGATCGAAACATCATACCTGTTTTAAATATATTCTTCCTTACTGAAATAGTTGTAACTTGTAAAAAAGCAATGCTATTGAAACGATCATTCCAAATCCTATACTATTACATTTTCATTATTGATAACGTGATCACATATACGAAAGAATGTATTGTTGTTATTCTAAATTACATCAGCTGTTTTGTTCTGTTAAGACCGGGCTTGTGTTTTGTAGGGTGTTTACCTCTTGATAAAACTGTAAGAAAAATTTAGGAATTAGAGTTTTCACTGAGTATTGGTTGTTTCTCTTCATACATTATATAAAACGTGTTATGAACCGTAATAGAAAATGCCATACAATCATACTGTCATTATGTGATGAGTTATCCTCAATAGAGGTGCATAATCTCTCTTTTTCTACATATAGCGTTTGCAATTTCATGATTTTTTGGCTAGTTAAAAGTGTCTATAATAAATTTAAATGTGCTTAATTCCAATGTAATATCGTGTTTATTGACAGACAGTTAAGTTCTTTTTTTAAACTGATTTTACGAAAGAATGATTTGTCTTGTTCTATGAAAAAAAAACAACATTCATTCACTTAGTTAAGTTTTTCATCGTAACGTAACTTTTTCAAATTATGAAACTTTCCGATAGCTTTTTACTGTCAAAAACATTGAAGTTGCCTCATTTTTAGTCCCTTGATGGGTCAGCAGTAAGTTTACGGACGTATAACACCTAAATCCAAGGTTCGATTCCCCACAGTTGGACAGAGTCAGATAATCCATTATATAGTTTACAGTAAAAAAAGCCTTACTCTCAAAATAAGGTTTATGAAAAAATGAAACTATATCATATTTTTGTATCTAAACAGCGTTTTCGCAAAAAACAATAAAATACTATATTGTGAAAAGTGAAATGAAATTGATTAACAATAAATCTGCTAATGAATTGTAACTCCAATATTTCCAATAAATATGCTTTTATTTCATTTTTATGTGGAAATATTCTTTCCAAAATAAGATGCTATGCAAAATGTCAGGGAAACGTATAGGAGGTGCAGCCAAACTATGCGGCCCCCGGTGAATCAGCAGCAAATATGATAGCTTACAACGCTAAAATTCGGGTTTCGATACTTGCAGTGGGCACAGCACAGGTAGCCTCTTGTGTAGCTTTGTGCTCAACAACAAACAATGTGTGTTTTATCACAAGTGAACAATTGGACTTATAGGTTGAAACAAATGTAAGAGTTTTTTTGTTTTTGATATAGAAACGGAGCAGGAAGCCTAGTGATTAGCACGCCTGACTGTGGATCCGATGATCCACGGTTAGTGTCCCGTTGTCTCAAAGTCGCGCTCCGTACTTTGGACCTGTGGGTGCAGTCAAGTTTTATTATTTGTTTAGAGTAAGTAACCAAAGAGTTTTCGATGGGTGTTGCTCACTAGCTATCTTCAATTTAGTTTATCAGTTCAAAATTAGAGACGGCTTAGTGCAGATACCCATTACACTACTTTGTGCGGATATCCGAGAAAACAAACTGTAGAAATATGAATTCATATTTATAGTTAAAAATAGAAAAAATTCACTAAGAAATGTAAGAAAACTGATTACTCTTATATTTTTTCCATATTCAGCTTTGTGAAAACGTGGTAGTTTTAAGTAAGTTACCTTAACATGAATAATGATTGTAATAAAGTAAAAAGAAAGAACGGCTCAATATTGTATCCAAAATATCATATACTCTTGTGTTTTCTAAAGGAAAACTTTCTTGACGCAAGAAATAAAGAGAGATCGAGAGAATCATTTCATTATTTTCTTGCTAAAATATCATTGGTTATGGGTAGATTTTAGACCAATTGAATTTGTAATTCGTATTTTTTATAACGTATTACTTAGTTATCAAAAACACATTAAAAGTGAACACCGAATTTTATTTGGAAAGCTGTGATGTCTCTCTATGGCTTGAAGAAAGTTATTTGTTATTAAGCACAGAACTGTAAAATAAACAATCCATACTGTGCCCACCACATAGACCGAAGCTCGAATTTTAGGTTTATAATCTTACCTCTCTGATCCACATGGGCCCGGGATATTTAAGAGTTTCGATGAATTTGAATAGAAAGAGACTCGTTTTACAAAACGTTCGGTACCATTTAGACAAATCAGAAGACAAAAAAGAACAAGGGGAAACAATTTAATCTCAATATTTATATATTTGGTAGTAAGCTTAGTCACTATTGAACAATGAAATAGTTGAATTGGGGTTTTGTATGAATAAGACACATTGCTTTTTACACTTAAAAAATATTTCTTTTTACTTTTGAGGTTTAAGAAGGTGGACTACCGGTTACTGAATTAAGTTATGAAACCTTGTAAATGTACGTATTTATTACCTATTGCTTATAGGCTTACAAACAATTCGCATGGGTTATATTCAGTTTATAAACAATATCTATATAAATATAATAGTACTATCTGTTGTCTGTTCTATGTCCATGTAACTATTTCGCAGGGTGTGGATGGATTTTCACCAAAATTGGTATGGAGGTTCATTAGGTTCATACAAATTTTCAGTTCTGCATTTTGCGTTTTGCAGTTTTATGGCCGTTTTTGCGTTTGTTACAATTATATATAAAGGAAGTAACTTTTCATGTCCTAAGATAACTTTTCATTAATCATAAATTTACGTTACTTCCATCCAGGTCACGGGTACTCCAGCTAGTTATAAATATGTTAGTCTTTTTTTAGTAAAACAGTTCTAAGAATTTTTCGACGTTATTAATGAGTGTTATTTAAGACTGTCATTAAGGGGGGGAAGCTGTTTATGATAGAAGAACTGATAACGACCTTTTATTATTTTAAAAATATATTCACACACACAACGGAAGCATGTGTGACCATATCATATTCCTCAGTGCTCTCATATCGGCCTAAACTAAAGTAAAGCATAGCATTTGCTTGTAGTTTCGTATTGTTTTCAATATACATGTCAAAACAAACAGTGAAGGTATTGCATTAGCTTTATTCTGCTACAATGCTGTCACTGAAAAAATAGCAAAGAAAACATGAAGTATTCTTTGATAGATTGTTTAGGCAATGTATTCATGATAAGTACCCTGGAATGGGCGGCAATTGTCTGTTGTAGAAAAATAACAAGTGTAGAGGATGACGTTTCGAAGGTCTTCCATTTTTCATCTTCAGACGGAACATGAAGCTTTTGTTATCAGTGTTATTATTATTAGCTATTCCTTAATATTTGTCACAATGATTGTGTAATTTTATCATTGTTTAATTGGCAGAACCAACTTTAAAAAGGGATGACGAGAAAAATCCATATTGGATAGAAGACGAATGTTTGGTTGGTAGTGAGTTGGTATATCTTGAGGAAGCAGAGTCCACTTTTTTCAAGGACTTAATTGCCAAATATCTGAAGCCACTTCTAAAAAATAAAGAACAAGAGGCTCGAGTAGCTACTGAACTGAAAGAGTTACGAAACAAAGTTGTGTTTGGCTTTCTTATGACTAACGCCTTGTTCATTCTCATTGTGTTTTTGTTGCAGCTTAACAAAAATCAGCTGCATATTAGGTGGCCTTTAGGGGTGAAAAGTAACGTTACGTACATTCCAAGCACCAAAGAGATCAAAATCGAGAGCGAATACTTAAAATTAGAGCCAATTGGTTTGGTATTTGCCACTTTCTTTGCTACAATTTTGATTATCCAGTTTATTGGAATGGGTTTCCACCGATTTGCTACTTTTTCCCACATTTTGGCATCCATTGAGCTGAAATGTTGTAACCAGAAAGTCGAAGATATAAGTGATGATGCTTATATTGATAAGCATGCAGTTAATATAGCTAGACAACTGCAGAAACTGCGTGGCTTACATGATGACGAAGTTGCAGAAAATACGAAGAAAGGAAGAAAGCGACTGGAAAGAAGAAAGACCATTCATAATCTGGAGAAGAGGCGTTTTCAGAAGCCTGGGGTTGACTCTTTGGACATGGCTTTCCATACAAGGCTTTTCAGTATTTCTGAGGAAAGTCCAGGTAGGCAATACGGCATTTTGTAATTAATATTTATCTGTAAGTGGTGGTATGCTTATTTTTATACGGTAACTTCAATAGTCAACTTTTCCTGAAATATTAATACAATGTACATTTTTCATACTTGGTTTGCTACTTCATTATTAACGCAAGTTCTGCTGGAGTATTGCAGGAAGTTCACATCATGTAAAGATAATTTTTGTTATTATAATTTAAATAGATTAAATTTTCCACACATTTATTTAAATATTATTAGTTTAATTTCCAGAGTTATAAGTTTTCAAAAGTTATAAGTGACTTTTAAATCATTCTCCACGTATATTAGTATATATCATCATTTTGAATATTGGGTCCGATTTTGTGAGGGCGTTTAATCTTTAATCAATAAATGAGCAAAAATGTTTCAAATAAATAGAAATTGTTGCTTCATTATAAAATTACAATAGTTCAAATGCGGTATACTAATTTTCAACATTTTCTTAGTCAAATACATCAACATACTGAAATGTTTCTTCCTCCACAGCATGAAACTAAAGAAAAGAAAAATTATGGCACAACACAGGACAGTTTTAAGTTGGTTATACTGAAGTTTTATTTATGTAAAAATAAACTTACGAATTAAATACCATCTTGTAACTTTCAGACAATATTGAATACTTAACAGTAAACACTACAATATTTTTTCAAGTATTAGAGAAATTCTTTTCTCTCTCTCTTCCTGAATACTTCACTGACCTGATTATTATCTTTAATCTTTGTTATGCAAAGTTTATGATTTGGCTCAGCAAAATCGATCCCTTGAGTTATTATTATACAAATTTTGCATTAACGTATGTGTTTCCGCAGCCCTGTTTACTTAATTATCACAAAACTATAATATATGGTCGTTGATTTTTCAGCTGTTAATAAAATTAAAAAATAGCTTCACTCCTTTTTACAGCCTAAAGTTAGACAGCTTAAATGCCATTTATGCAAATAGAGCACCTCTGTTACCCAATAGGACTAATCAATTGTTCTATTAATTTTAACAATTTTACCGCTGTCGTTTGAAAGTGGTATGAGTGTGACGTTTATGCTGCACAATACCCACATCTGCGATTAGCATGCGCTGGGATAGATTATTTAGCTGAAAGGGTAACGTTGCGTATTATAATTTTAAATGATCAGAAATTGAGTTAACTGATGATTTAAATTTAGTAGTTCAATTATACTTTGGATTTAGTATTTAAATAAATACCGATATATAGCAGATTGTAATATTTGCCAACAAGATTGATACAGTTTTCATTTTTAACACAAATACGTTTTAATATACACACAACAGTACACTTTACAATAACGGTTATTACAAATAATTATTACAAACAATGGTTTATAAACAAATGTTTCACAAACTTACAAGCAATGTCAAGTCTTCTTTCTAGTTTGGAACTTCCTTGTTATCTTATCGAGGGTTCACGATGAGCGAGTTAATTACGAGTTGATGTAAGTACGATTCGCCGGGAAGCTAGCTAGCTTTGTCCTTTGCCACACACACTGAGTTTTCCACCGTTGAAGTTAGGTAACGTTTTCGTAAAAACACTAATGTCCGATGAGAATCCACTGAAGTTAAATGAGTAGTAATGTTCGAACTTTGT